TTTCTCTTTGGCCCCTCCTATCCCCTCCAGCCACGCAACACGCGGTCCCTTCCACTGCCTTCCACTTGCAAGCACAGACCCCCCTCCTGCTTCTGGGCTTGGGCTGTGTGTTCTTTCTAGCAGTTCCCCACAGAGAGTTAACAGGTCTTTCCTTCATTTTCTTCAGGTATCTCTTTAAATGTTACTTTATTCCCTGACTACTTTGTGTAAAGAAGCAGGCATGTCCCATTTTCCAATTCAGGTAGACTAGCTCTTCTCCTTCTCTCTCTCTCCTTCCTTTTCTCCTTTTCCTCCTCCTCCTCCTCTTTTTCTTTTCTTTTCTTTTTTTTTAAAGAATTTATTGTATGTTTGTTATTTACAGTTAATCATTACCTACCAAATGCTATCCAGTATATGTCTACATTTTCTTTAAGGCACGCATGGATCATTAGCTGATACTGCATATTGATTTTCATTTTAGTATCCAGCTCTATTCACTAGAATGTAAACTCCCTGAAAGTAGGGATTTGATCTGTTTTGTTGCTGCAGTTGGCTCAGTGCTTACAGCAGGTCCTGACTTGGTAAGCACTCAAATATTTGTGGAACAAATACATGCTCATCCAAGTATCGTATTATGAGTTATGTTTTCACCATTGCTATTTTATTCTGGAATTAATATTTGCCTTGTTTTTCATTTGTTTACTTTCCGATGTACCTAATCCTTTCTTACAAGCCCCTTTATCCTTCTCCAAAACTGGACTGGTTGTCTATCATCCTGGGGCATTTGGCACCATCTTTTATTTTTATTTATTTATTTATTTTTGGCACCATCTTTTAAATTCCCTTTGCTTTTTCCTGTTTTTGACTCCCTGTTTCTTGGATGCCATTTATTCTTTTTTCCTGGTTTATTTGCATTAATATGCCTCTAGTTATTCCCCAAAATATGAACAAAACGTAGACTTTTTGAGAATTTGCATGGTTAAAAATGTCTGCATTTTTAAGTAATCAAAACGGGTTTACTCAATCTATTCATATTCATTGTAATTATTATTTTTTTCTAATATTTTTATTTATTTCTAGGAGGGAGGGAGAGAGAGAGAGAGCGTGAGCAGGGGAGGGTCAGAGAGAGAGGGAGATACAGACTCTGAAATAGGCTCCAGGCTCTGAGCTGGCAGTCAGCACAGAGCCCGACGCGGGGCTCGAACCCACGAACCGCGAGATCATGACCTAAGCGAAAGTCGGACGCTTAACCGACTAAGCCACCCAGGCGCCCCCATATTCATTGTAATTATTAATGTGGTTACATTTTGCTTCTTGTTTTCTATGTCTCTTTTATGCTTTTTCAAAAAGACTATTTTTTTAGAGCTCTAAACAACAACAAAATTGAGAGTTAGGTGCAGAGTTTTCCCTATGCGTTTTGCCTGCACACATGCATAGTCTCTCCCATTGTTGATATCATTCACCAAAATGGTGCTTTTTGTTTTTAAACCAAGGATGAGTCCACACTGACACATCATAATTGCCCAACATCCATAATTTACCTTAGGGTTCACTCCTGATGTTGTGAATTCTATGGGTTTGGACAAAATCATAACGACATGTGTCCATCATAAATCTCAGAGTATTTTTACTGCCCTAAAAATTCTCTGTGCTTTGCCTGTTCATTTCTACCCTTCCCCTACCTCTGACACCACCCCTTTTTATTATCTCCATTGTTTTGCTTTTTCCAGAATGTCACATATTGGAATTATACAGTATGTAGCCTCTTCAGATTGGCTTCTCTCACTTGGTAACATGCACTTTAGTTTCCTCTGGGTCTTTTCATGGCTTCATAGCTCATTTCTATTTAGCACTGAATAATATTCCATTGTCTAATGAACAGACACTTCTCCAAAGAGGACATCCAGATGGCCAACAGACACATGAAACGATGCTCAGCGTCCCTCCTTATCAGGGAAATACAAATCAAAACCACACTGAGATACCACCTCATGCCAGTCAGAGTGGCTAAAATGAGCAAATCAGAGGACTCTAGATGCTGGCGAGGATGTGGAGAAATGGGCACCCTCCTACACTGTTGGTGGGAATGTAAACTGGTGCAGCCCCTCTGGAAAACAGTGTGGAGGTTCCTCAGGAAACTAACATTAGAACTCCCTTATGACCCAGCAATAGCACTGCTAGGAATTTACCCAAGGGATACAGAAATGCTGAGGCATAGGAGCACATGTACCCCAATGTTCATAGCAGCACTCTCCACAATAGCTAAAACATGGAAAGAGCCTAAGTGTCCATCAACAGATGAATGGATCAAGAAGATGTGGTTTATCTATACCATGGAATACTACATGGCAATGAGAAACAATGAAATCTGGCCATGTGTAGCAACATGGATGGACCTTGAGGGTGTTATGCTGAGCGAAATAAGTCAGGCAGAGAAGGACAAATATCATATGTTTGCACGTATAGGAGGATTAGGAGGAACTTGACGGAGGAACAAGGGGGAGAAGAAGGGCGGAAATGGTGGGGGAAAGGGAGAGAGGCAAACCATGAGAGACTCTTGAATGCTGACAAAAACTGAGGACTGATGGATGTGGGGGGGAGGAGGGATGGGCATGGAGGAGGGCACTTTGGGGATGAGCACTGAGTGTTATGTAGAAACCAATTTGACAATAAAATATTTGTAAAAAAAAATAATAATATTCCATTGTCTAGATGTACCACAGTTTATTTATACATTCAACTACTAAAGGACATCTTGGTTGCTTCCAAGATTTTAGAATTATGAATAAAGCTGTTATAAACATCTGTGTGCAAGTTTTTGTGTGGACGTCAGTTTTTATCTCCTGTGGGTAAACACCAAGGAGCAAGATTGCTGGACTGTATGGTAAGAGTGTGTTTTGCAGGAATTGCCAAACTATCTTCCAAACAGCTGTACCGTTTTGCATTCTCACTAGCAATATATGAGCGTTTCTGTTGCTCCACACCCTCACCAGCATTTGGTGTCGTCAGTGTTCCAGATTCTGGCCATTCTAAGAAGTATGTTGTGCTGTCTCATCATTTTCATTTTCATTTCCCTGAAGATGTACTATGATGTGGGGGCTTTTTTCTTGTGCTTATTTGCATGTCTTAGGTAAAGTGTCTGTCAAGGTATTTGGCCCATTAAAATTTTTTTCTTAAGTTTTAGCTTATTTTGGGTAACGGTCCTTTATCAAGATGTGTCCTTTTGCAAATATTTTCTCCCAGTCTGTGGGCTGTCTTCTAATTTTCTTGATTTTTCTCTTTTGCAGAGCAGTAGTTTTTAATATTAATGAAGTCCAACTTCTCAGTTATTTCTTCCATGGATAATTTCTTTGGTGCTGTTAATCTAAAAAAAAATCACCATACACAAGGTCATCTAGGTTTTCTCTTCTAGGAATTTTATAGTTTTGCATTTTACATTTAGATTTATGGTCCATTTAGTTGAAATAAAATTAATTTTTGTGATGGGTGTAAGGTCTGTGTCTAGATTAATTTTTTTGCAAGTGGATATCCGGTTGTTCCAGCACCATTTATTGAACAGACAATCTTTGCTCCGTTGTGTTGCTTTTGTTCCTTTGTCAAAGGTTAGTTGATCAAGGTCTATTTCTGGGCCCCATATTCTTTTTCATTGATCTATTTAATCTATTTCTTTGCCAATACCACATTCTCCTCCTGATCACTGTAGCTTTAACATAAGCTTGAAGTTGGGTAGCATGAGTCCTTTGACTGTTCTTCAGTATTTTGTTGGCTATTCTGGGTCTTTTGCCTTTCCATATAAATTTAGAATCAATTTGTCAATATCCATGAGATACTTTCTTGGATCTTGACTGAGATTGCATTTAATCTATAGATCTAGTGGGGAAGAACTGACATCTTGAGAATAGTGTCTTCCTGTTCATGAACATGGAATAGGTTTCCATTTATTTAGTTCTTTGGTTTCATTCATCAGAGTTTTGTGGTTTTCCTCTCCTTATTTTGTTAGTTTTATCCTTAAGTATTTCTTTTTAAAAAATTTTTAAAATGTTTATGTATTTATTTATTTATTTATTTATTTTTACAAATAGTTTATTGTCAAATTAGTTTCCACATAACACTCAGTGCTCATCCCCAAAATGTTTATTTATTTATTTTTGAAAGAGAGAGGGGACAGAGCATGAGCAGAAAGGGGCAGAGAGAGAGGGAGGCATAGAATCCGAAGCAAGCTCCAGGCTCTGAGCTGTCAGCACAGAGCCTGATGCAGGGCTGAAACTCACAAACTGCAAGACTATGACCTAAGCCAAAGTCGGATGCCTAACGGACTGAGCCACCCAGGTGCCCCAAGTTTTGGGGGTGCTAATGTAAATGTTGTATTTTTAACTTCAAATTCCACTTGTTCTCTCAGACCTTTTCTTGTTCCTCTGTTCCTTGTTCACTGCTGTCTTTTGTGTATATATTTTTTTTAAATGTTTGTTTATTTTTGGGAGAGAGAACATGAGTGAGAGAGGGACAGAGAGGGAGAGGGAGACACAGAATTCCAAGCAGGCTCCCAGCTCTGAGCTGTCAGCACAGAGCCTGGTGCCGTGCTTGAACTCATGGACTGTGAGATCATGACCTGAACCAAAGTTGAACTCTCAACTAACTGAGCCACCCAGGTGCCGCTAATGTACTACTCTAATTCCTCCTTTCATTTTTTTAGCTATGGTTTTGAAGCCTTTTTTTGTTTTTTAGTGCTTGCTCTAGGAATTACAGTCTGCATCACTGTCTACTTTTGGTTAATTTTAATTTAATTCTGATAAAATATAGCTGCTTTGTTAATTTATAGTTCGTGCCACTGTTGATATACATATCAACAATCAATGTATTAAATATAAGTATATACTATATATATTATAAACCAACAGTGTTGCAATTAGCACTTTAAACAGCCTTTTAAAAAACTTTTTAATTAGTTTTGAATTTTAATTCCAGTTTAGTTAACATACATGTTATATTAGTTTTAGGTGGACAACATAGTGATGCAACAAAAAAGTATGGAACACTTCACAAATTTGCGTGTCATCCTTGTGCAAGGGCCACATTCATCTTCTCTGTACCGTTCCCATTTCAGTATGTTTGGTGCTGAAGTGAGCACTGAATAGTCTTACACTTTTCAGGAAATAGAGACAGATAGTCTTTTATATTTACTTACATATTTGCCATTTCTAGTGCACTTCATTCCTTCCTGTGCATTTGAATAACCTAATCTCATTTAGTTCCAGCATGAAGGATATCCTTTAATATTTCTTATAAAGCAGTTCTGTTACCAATGAATTCTTTCAGTTTTGCATATCTGGAAATATCTTTTTTTTGAAGACTAGTTAGGTTGGATATAGAATTCTTAATTGGCAGTTTTTCCTTTCAACACTTTGATTATATCATTCCATGGGCTTCTGGTCTCCCACAGTACTGATGAGAAATCAGCTCTTACTCATATTGATATTTCCCAGTGAGCCCCTTTTCTTCCAGCTTTCAAGATTTTCTTTTGGGGGCACCTGGGTGGCCCAGTTGATTAAGCCTCCAACCTCACCTCATGTCATAATCTCATGGTTCGTGGGTTTAAGCCCTGCATCTGGCTCTGTGCTGACAGAGCACGGATATTTATTTTATCTCCCCCCAAATAAATAAATGTTAAAATTAAAAAATTTTTTTTCTTGATATCTTTGGCTTTTAGCAGTTTGACTATGATATATGTGTTATTCATTTTGTAGGGGTTTTTTATTTTTTTGTTTTTTTGTTTGTCTTTATTGTTTTGTTTTCTTGGCTGAGCTTCTTGGGTCTATAGTTTAATATTTGTCATCAGACTTGGGGAGTTTTCAGCCATGACTTCAATTATTTTTCTGACTCCCTTTCCCTGTTCATTGCCATGTTTAACCCACTGAGCCAAGGATTTTCAACCCCTCAACCACTACCCTGAATCGTGTCTGTTTCCCCTGGCAGCAAAACTACTTGTTTTCATAGTTAGCACCAAGTTACTTAAAAGTCATTGAGGGAAGGGAATAATGGCAGCAGTTCCAGGCAAAAAGGCCTAATAGTCTCCAACTGTTCTTACCTGAAGATCTAGTAGCTTTTCAAAAAGAAAAGCTTCTTTGAGAGTTTAGCTGAAATAATCCATAATATTGCTGTCTCCTCCTCCAATTTGTGTAGCCAGGTGGCCTGCAGGGGCCTTGAGCTGACATGAGTCCCTCCTGCGAGCATGCCCTAGATACCAGCTGCAGAGTCACAAGTAAACGTAAGTTCCTGATATAACATCCCCAGTGGCCCTTGCGGTAAACAGTCTCCCCCTCCTCTCAGGGCCTTCCCCTTGTACAGCCCTTAAATAAGATCCCTGTGAGGCTTACTTAAACCCTGTTCTTTCTGCTTTAGATTCATCAATCCAGACAGCCTGGGAATCCCAAGGGTATGTGCCCCAGCTCCTGCTGCCGTCTCTGCGTGTACTCTGCCTTGACCTCCCCATATGCCCCCTTGAGGCATGCCTTGTGCCTTCTCCAGGACCTGTGAGTAACCCAATTCTCTATTTCACTAGCGTCTTGTTGAACAGACTCACCATCAGACCCCTGGGCACTCTACTTAACAAATGTCACAACAGCTTCTCAATTTGTCTGACTTTGGTTCATTGCCAGTTCCCGGAAATGGCTGGTTTTGACAATTTTGTCTGGTTTTATGCATTTTTTTTCGGTTTGTTTTTAGTTTCTGTAGGAAGAAATTGCTTCCCTATTCATTCTGCCGTAACTGGAAGGCCCTCTTCCCTTTCTTTATTTTTTCATTCTTTTTAAGACCCTGTATTGAGCAATATTTAAAAGAAATTTTTTTAATGTTTATTTATTTTTGAGAGACAGAGTGCAAGTGGTGGAGGGGCAGAAAGGGAGGGAAACATCGAATCCAAAGCAGGCTCCAGGCTGCAAGCTGTCCGCACAGGGCCTGATGCAGGGCTCAGACTCACAAAGCGTAAGATTATGACCTGAGCCCAAGTCAGATGTTTAACTTACTGAACCACCCAGGCACCCCACTGATCAATATAGTTTTAAAAAAACCTCCATTTTCTTTTAATGTTTAACACAGGTCCCGCTCAAGATCAAGCCTGTTATACTCCCTTGTTTTCCTAGTCAGAAGTCTAGAAAAACCAGCTTTGCAAATCCTTCCTGTCCTTCCCCATTTTTTTCTGAGGAGCAGTACCCTAAATAAAGGCAGAGTCCTTGTCTGCCTTTCTGTAGTCCGTACCAATTTGTCAAACACCACCCTTCCCTTTTACCTGGTTTAAGATGCACATCAGTGGATGATAGGGCCCGCAGCATGTCTATAGAAACTATTTCTAAATATATTTACGTTACTTGGAAAGCTGAATACCTTGACTTGATGAGGGAGAGGAATAGGGAGGTAGATTTCTTCCATTAACCAATTATTAGATTAGAACATTATAGGATATGTAGTAGAGATACAGGATGGGTCGGTTTCAATAAGGAACAAGGCACTAACTCATTTCAAATAGAAAAATAAAAATTTAGGCTTCTAATAATTTGGATAACACCATTCAAATAGGCTAAGAAGTCTAGCATTAAAAAAATAATTTAAAAACAGATACTAAATAAAAAAAAAGCAAACACTTAAGGGGTAAGCTGTCAAGAATTACACTGATCAAAATATTTCAAGCTAAGGAAAACCCAGAGAAGAAAACATTAGAAAGTGCTTCTGCAAAGACAAGTTTCCTAATATTCTTATTTTTAATGTATTTACTCTTTTTTGATATCACAGGAGATAGCATGGGAGTGTAAAGGGAAGACTGGGTGTTTTGGAGAAGTGGTAGCTTTTCTTTTTTTTTAATGTTTATTTTGAGAGGTGAGGGGGGTGTAGGGGCAGAAACAGAGAATCCCAAGCAGGCTCCATGATGCCAGCACAGAGCCCGATGCTGGGCTGGAACTCATGGACTGTGAGATCATGACCCGAGCTGAAGTCGGACGCTTAAGGAACTGAGCCACCCAGACAGCCCTGAAGAGGTGGTAGCTTCAAGTTAAAGCTGGCAACCGAGAAGACTAGTGGTTCATGTCCTGTCTAAGGAGACCACTGGAAAAGGAACATCATTTGAATAAGAGGTTTGACATGCTTTTCCTAGTTCTCCTTATCTTTAACTATTCTCCCCCCTCTACATTCGGTATTTTTCATTTGAGGTAAGTGAAATGAAGACAAGTCGATGGTGTCCAGAAGAGAAAAAGGAGGTAAGAGTAAGGAAGAGTAGGGGACAGGGAAAGAGGACGGAGAGTCATAGATGCAGAGAGGGAGCAGAGGAGGTGAAAAATTACGGTCAATGCCACTTGCCGGTAGTTAAAAATAAAACTTGGGCCCTTTGTTTTTCAAGAAAGCTTGCATTTTCCCTTATTTTAGATGAAGAAGTACACATAGTGGAAGGGTATATCTAGATGACTGAGAGACTCAAAACCAAGAAAAGTGAATTTTATTTTCTTCCTCGAGTGCCTAGGCTTAGCACCCTCCAACGTTAGAACTGAGGGCTTGGCTTTCACAGCAGGGGGAAGAGTTAAGCCAATTTCTCCTTATTTGAGATGACAGGGTACAACATTTATAGACGACCAACTATCACAGAGAACCTGGGCCTCTGCTTATAGTTCCCACCATGGGATATTATATAACCATTAAAAAGAATGAATTAGAGCTATACCAGCTGTTCTCAGTTTTCCATGAGAGAGCTGGCTGAGACAAGCAAGATGGAAAAAACTACTTATAATATGACCCCATTTTGAACAACAAAGGTAATGTCCTGCATATATGTGTTACACATGTATGTAGGTATATGATCATATGAACAGGGAAAGCAAAATACAAGAATACTTTGAGGATATCTAACACTCTTAAGTATTTCTGACTCTGTCTTCTAGGCACATGGTATGATTGCACTTTCTGGCCCCTTTGCAGTTGGGTGGGGTCTTGTGAGTTCTGGGCAGAAGTGACATGCGTTAGTTCTGGGCAGAAACACGTAATTGGCAGTTCAAGACCCCTCAGAACACTTTCCCTTTAACACATTACTATCGACGTTCACAATAGTAGCTTCTCCATAAGTCTAGGTCCCAGAGTGAGGACACATGGAGCAGAGCCCCAAACAAGCCACAATGAACACATGGCATAGGAAAAATAAACATTTGTTGTAACGAGCCACTAAGCTTTGTGGGTTGTTTTTATCCAGCATAACCTAAGTTATGAGTCATACAGATATACACCAGGTTAACATGTTATGGGTAGGACACTCAGGCTTTTGCAGTTTCTTTTAAAAAATATTGAAAAACTTTATCACATCCAAGGAAGAAGTTATGATGCTGTAAGAATGGTAGAATTTATACCAAAAAGGTGCCAAAGACTATTCTGGCAAATTGTATCTGGAACTGTCCAGACTCATGCGCTTTCTACCTGATATCAGATAGACACATTTTCCCTTTTGAAATGGTGCCCAAGTTCTCCTTGGCTTGAAGATAGCTGTCTTCTCCTGTGTTTTCACATACATCTTTCCTCTGGGTGTGCCTGTGTCCTCTTCATTTAAGGGCAACAGTTAGATTAGAGACCTCCCTGATGACCTCATTTTAACTTAATTATCTCTTCAAAGAGATTATCTTTAAATATAGTCACCTTCTGAAGCACTAGAGGTTAGGACTTCAACATATAAATTGGGGATGGGGAGCATAATTCAACCCATTACACCACATTTTATTTATTCATCGCTTAATTGACATCTCCATATACTTTTATGTATTTAATTGCTAAATCACTACAAAAGACAACTCAGATGTATCAAAGAAGACACTCTGAAGGTTTCAACAACCTTACTAAGTATTACTACTTTGTATTCCTGGGACAGTTTTTCCTAATGAATCTGAAAATCACCCTCATGTGGTTCTAGAAGTCTCAATTCTTTCTTGTTATTTCTCTTTTCCTTTTTTCAAATAACAGCCTTATTGACATATAATTCATATACCATAACATTCACTCCTTTAAAGTGTATAATTCAGTGATTGCTATTATATTCACAGTTGTGCAACCGCTACCACTCTCTGATTTTAGAACATTTTCATCAACCCCAAAAGAAATCCCACA